GGGCGTGGGGGGATGGGTTAGCCTGGTGATGGGTATTAAAGAGGGCACGTTCTGCATGGAGAACTGGGTGTTATACGCAAACAGTGAATCATGGACCACTACATCAAAAAGTAATGATGTAATGTATGGTGGTTAACATAACAATAAAAATTCACAAAGTTAAAAAAATATATTATCGGGAAGAAGTTCTGTATATGGTTCTGCATATAATGTAAATAGAATATTCAAAATAATTTCGAAGAACATGTTTGGTCAGTTACTTGAAGTAGAAATAAGAAAGAAAAGTGAGTTGGATAGTTTTGATATTCTTGCCAACATGAAAAGCGCTGACATCAGGGTGGCTTTGGAGAGGAGTTTGAGCAGAGGGAGAGATTGAGATTGTATAGCAAGAATGTAAGTTATACACAGAGGGATTGAGCTGCAAGCACGAGAACCATCAGTTGGCTCCTGCAGGTCATTTCCATGTTTGGAAGAGTGACAACCAGCATAGATAAGAATAAAGAAAACTGAGTATTGGCAGAGCCATGTTGGATCACCTGCTCCCATCCCTAAACCGTCACTTAAAGGAAAATCTGGGCTACAGATGATGAACTTATCCTCATAGTACACCTCAGTTGGTTGGGATTGCTAGCAACTGTGGCAGTCTTCCACCTAGAAAATTGTGGAGTGGTTGAGGAATCAAATATAATGAGGGAAGAAAGATTTTAATCAGAAAGGCTGAGAAACTCCCATTATTCTTTGAAGACAGAAAAGTAATGAAAATTATATAAACTTTGACATAAATACACCCGAGTGAGGACGCTGACTCCGTCACTTACTGGCTGTGTGACTGGGCAAGTTACTTAACCTCTCTGAACCACAGTTTCCATAAAAACTTTCTGGCTGATTTCACTGAAAAATGAAGATAGGAAGGGAAAACCAAACATTGTGATTTATAATTGTTAGAAGTGCAATGCATCTGAGGTCAGCACAACAGAAGAAGGGATGGACATGGCCAGGGCCCTCATATATGCTACCCCTCTCTTTCTCCATAACATCTGAAACAGTGTCTTCACATCTCCCTGAATCCCCTCCTGTTTCTCCATGTTTTGTTCTCTACAGTGAGGCATGATAATTTTTCATAAGTCCAAAGTTGAGCATGTCACCTCCCTGCTGAAGCCATTTACTGGCTGCCCACTGCCCTTCAGCTATATTCCTGATCATTAGTATGGCTTCAAGGCTCTGACCTACCAGGTTTCCACCTCTCTCATCTGCCTCATCTATGTCCCACTGCCCTGTGCTTGCCAGACTGCAGCCAGGCAAGTTCTTGTCCACCTGAGAACCTGTACATGATTCCAACCTGGAATGGTTAACCTTCTTGAGCCTTCCAAGGTCAAGGGGACTCCCATTCATCCTTCAGAGCTCAGCTCAAGTACCACTTCCTCGAGTAGTGGCCTTGTTCTCCACCTTTCTTTTCTCTTATCTGGGGCCGCTCTGTTCTTGTCAGCCTACAGCCCGCAGTCTGCCTGAGACCGAGCACCATGCCTTCAATTAAGTTGCAGAGTTCCTATGGAGAGATATCTGAGGTTGATGTTGAAATTGCCGAACAGTCTGTGACTATCAAGACCATGTTGGAAGATTTGGGAATGGATGATGAAGGAGATGATGACCCAGTTCCTCTACCAAATGTTAACACAGCAATATTAAAAAAGGTCATTCAGTGGAGCACCCACCACAAGGATGACCCCCCACCTCCCGAGGATGATGAGAACAAAGAAAAGCGGACAGATGATATCCCTGTTTGGGACCAAGAATTCCTGAAAGTTGACCAAGGAACACTTTTTGAACTTATTTTGGCTGCGAACTACTTAGCAAACATCAAAGGTTTGCTTGATGTTACATGCAAGACTGTTGCCAATATGATCAAGGGGAAAACTCCTGAGGAGATCCGCAAGACCTTCAATATCAAAAATGACCTTACTGAAGAAGAGGAAGCCCAGGTACGCAAAGAAAACCAGTGGTGTGAAGAGAAGTGAAATGTTATGCCCGACACTGTAACACTGTAAGGATTGTTCCAAATACTAGTTGCACTGCTCTGTTTATAATTGTTAATATTAGACAAACAGTAGACAAATGGCAGCAGCAAATCAGTTGTTTAAGCAGAATATTGTCCTCCTTGCATGTGTAGTTTGAGTACAGATTCCAAACTTATGGCTGAGTTTCTGCTAGTATGATCAAAAGTTTCTTTTTTCTTTGCTCTAAATAAACCTGAACTGTGGGTTCTCTGTAGAAGGTGGCATTTTGGGCTTTCCAAAACTCTCTTTGTAAAGCGATTTCTGCCTAGTTTATTGTCTAGTTAACTTTAGTTTAATGACCTTTTAAAAGTTGGCATTGTAAATAAAACAAGTTGAAAAAAGTTTTCTGAAATAGAATTAACAACATATTCTCTTTATTCATGAGTTGGAAACTGGAAAAAGGCTACCTGAGGTAAATGTTTCGAGTGGGGTTATTAGGATGTCTTCCAGCTTCCTGGAGTCAAGGAGTACCACTGGTATTGATTAGCCTGTATGTAGCAGGGCTCCTTTAATTGGATCTAAGGACTTGTTTTTGCATTTTTAATCCTCAGCTTTGAATATGTTGGCTAGAGACTCAGTTACTACTCAGTTTGTGATTTTGGGGGGAATATAACTAGCGAGTCTGTTAGCTTTTCGATTAAAAAAGACAACCCATGTGGTTATGTCATCTTATAATCATTGATCCCATGTGGGGGAAAGTTCACACTACTTGTACGTAAAAAATAATTTAACCTTTAACGTTAAAAATCTAGAAAGCATCCATCATGAATGCAAGATACTTTCAATAAAAAATAAGTTATGTAGTAGGTGGTAAATGGTTTGCTTTTGTGTACTTAACTGTGTCTCTTCACTGACTAGTAAATGAGTTAAGTATATGTACGGTTCTGTAGCTGGAGACAGCTTGCAGGCAGTTCATGTCCTAGCTCGCTGGGGCTGCTGACCTAACCCTTGGGTTCTGATGGACTGTGTCTCTTCTGACTGTCATGATCTGGTTCCCTGTAGCCAGTGCTTCAGTTCTTAACTGGTGCACGTGGCCGCACAGGACTGCACTCATTGTTCCCAGCCTCTACCCTACAGTCGAAGGAAGTTTTCTCAGTGCTTGAGATGGCTCACAAATTGTTACGTCTTTTTCGTTCCTCCTTGTGCTCCCTTTTCTCTTGCTTTCCCATTTAGCATCATCTGTATTCACATGGAGTCCTACCGCATTCTCTTCGTGTTTACCGTGAGCTGTTTTGGCTCAGATTATTCGCTGATAGTACTTTGCCTTTATACTTCACTTCTCGTTTGCCCTGAATCTGTATCTTGTTTAATAAAGTCCCATATACTGTCAAAAAGACAAACAAAAAACAAACAAAAAAAAAACAAAAACCACTTCCTCTTCTAGAACAGACAAACTGATCATGGTAGGGAAAAATATCCAGTCTGTGGTCACCTACTGGGTGGAGTGGGGGCAGGGTTTGACTGGGAATGGGCATGAGAGGTCTTCCTAGCCTGCCTTTATATTATTAGGGGTTTGGGCTGCACAAGTACATGGAATTGTTGAACTCATGGGATCGAAAGCTTAGGATGTGTGTATTTCTTTACATGCAAATTTTACCTCAAAAGAAAAAAAAATAGAACATGGAGGCTGCATTATTGATATGCACAGTGTAGTATTCGGGAAAGGGAAGTGTATTGATGCCTGAAATTTCCTTTGCAACGCATAAAAATTCAAGACGGATTGAGGGATGGATCGATGGGAAATAGGTGATAAAGTAAGTGTGGTAAAATGTTAACAGTAATATTTAGGTGATGAGTAGCAGATGGATGTTTACTAAAAAAAAAAACCAAACTATTAACTTTTCTGAATGCTTGAAGATATCAAAGAAAACATTTCTGTCTGCCCCTCTCCCTATCTGAGAGTATCATGTTAGATCCTAACAATATCACCGTCATGAATCACAATGTATCTTCCTGAACACAGATGTCATCTCCACGAATTACAATAATTAATAGTGATTAATAGTTCGAATAATCAATAGTGAAATTATTTATTTATTTGTTTATTTTAATATTTAGAATCCTTCTCTAGACTGTAAGCTCCATGACGGCAGGTGCCATATCTCTGTTGTTTACCACTGCATCTCTAAGATCTAGTGGTTGCTCAGTAAATATTTGTTTAGTAAATATACCTGCCTCTCTAAAATCCATCCTCCATTTTGCTGATAGATAAGATGCTTGTTTTCAAGGTTCATCTCTCATGCCTTTTTACGTCTATGGTGAGAGTAGCAAGATCTTCATTTCCTGCCTCAGTTCCATCAGCCTTGATGGGTGTAGGCAGCAAGAAGCCACATTTATCCAAATGCATTTCTTCCCCAGATAGGCTTCTGGTGATTTTTGTTATATCCAGACCCAATGTGCTTCTCTCATAGTGAAGATTGTCAGCTTCTCTAGAACTCCAGGTTGGACTGGACATGATCTGGAGTTTCTCAGTGTCTCCACAGTTGTGCTCATACTAAAAATTGCCAGCCCAGCATTTTGTGTTGGGTATGCATCGCTACACTCCAAGACCCCCCATCCTCATAGGAAGATGTGTGATGGGAAGAAAAAAACCTTAAATAATGCCCGACACTGAAAACATGGCTTGTCTTATTTTCTCTCTCATTCATCAAAATCGTAATAAGACAAAGGTATGCAAAACAGTTGCAGAGTAATACTTAGCTAAACTAGAAAAACTCAATTTTGGCAGGTTTTACAATCTTTAGGCTGACAGGTGACTTTGTCTTTCATTGATGTGTAAGAAAGAGAAAATGAAATGACTAAACTTGTCTGGGAGAAAATTTAAATGTGCAACAGCTGTTTGAAATGAGTTTACCATTGTACTGGGTAGATAGCAGTCTGCTTTCTCTGTTTCAAACTATGCCCCTGGATACTTAAGCAGTTTGTGGATATAATAAACCACTAAGACAACAGCGCATTAACAGAATGGGAATAGCACAGTTTTGGTGTTACAAGACCTGAGTTTTCATCCTGGTTTTGCCACTAAATTGTCTTGTACAATTACTTTCACCTTCGTGGATCTTTTTTTTTTTTTAAAGAATTCATTCATTCATTCATTCATTCATTCATTGAGAGAGAGAGTGCATGCGTGTGCACACACGGGAAAGGGAAGAGGGGGAGAGAGAGCGAGAGGGAGAAAATCCCAGGCAGATTCTGTGCTGGGCATGGAACCAACACGGGGCTCAATCCCAGGATCCTGAGATCATGACCTGAGCTGAAACCAAGAGTCAGACGTTTAACAGACTGAGCTATCCAGGTGCCCCACTTTTGTGGATCTTAACTTTATTTATTTATTTTTTTTAAAAAAGATTTCATTTATTTATTTGACAGAGAGAGACACAGCGAGAGAGGGAACACAAGCAGGGGGAGCGGGAGAGGGAGAAGCAGGCTTCCCTCCGAGCAGGGAGCCCGATGTGGGGCTCGATCCCAGGACCCTGGGATCATGACCTAAGCCGAAGGCAGACCCTTAATGACTGAGCCACCCAGGCGCCCCTGGATCTTAACTTTAAAATCAGGGAGTTGGATTAGACCGTTGCTTCTCAAAATTTAACGCACATTATCTGGAGATAGTTTAAAATGCAGATTCTGATTCAGAGGGCCTGTAACGTGGCCTGAGTCTGCATTTGTAATGAGCTCCCAGGTGATACTGATTCTGCTGGTCCATGGACCTGTACTTTGAGTAGCAACGGATTAGAAGATCTCTCTAAGGGAATTTCCAGTTAAATACAATTTATGTATTAACAGTCCTAGAGCTGCTCATAAGAAAAGCAGGGGCTCTTGGGTGGCTCAGTCTGTTGGGCAGCCAACTCTTGATTTCAGCTCTGGTCATGATCTCAGGATCCTGGGATCAAGCCCCATGTTGGGCTCCTCACTCAGCATGGAATCTGCTTGAGATTCTCTTTCTCTGCTCCCCACCCCCAACTCACAGAGAGCGAGTGCACTCTCTTTTTCTCTCTAAAATAAATAAACCTTTACAAGAAAAAGGGCCAACACTATCCCTTCTGCTCTTAGTGAATGGATGAGGTACTACAGCTTAGTACTGTTCAAAACCTACCAAACAACAAATTTCAAGCAACCAGAGCTGATGGCTTTTGCTCTGAAAGAACAGATATCCAACATTTCTCTCATAAGAGCTAACAAAGCAATGTGTATCAAATGTGTGAACTAAGCAATGCATAGGTAGTGTTGTGAACTAATAAAGCACATCACAGTTTAGCCTAGCAGGCCTCAGCTGCTGAATTACTGAAGTTGATCCCTGAAATGGCAACCTACTTAGTTTAATACAGTGGATCCCAATCTTGCTGCTCTACAAGAGTCACTCGGGGAGCATATGAAATAGAGATCTCTTACTTCACACTCTGGACCTAAGAATTCAGGAGCTTTAGTTTGGGCCAGTCATGTTTGGGAACTACTGTTATAACCATATGATGGGGGAACAGGGTGATGACTTGGGGCCCGAAAGGAAATTTTGACTCAATTCCTGATGGAAAGATGGTAAAGAAGAGCAATTCCACAAGCCAGCTTCTCCAGAATCCCAGTGGCATATTCTAATGGTAATGAAGGTGTATGGGTCACAAGGGAATCACTGTTTTAGAAAAGCAGCCTCTGAATAGGATGGTAAAGCTTTAAGGACCCCTGAAAGTTGCAATGAGAAGTTTTCACCGTAATTCATTTTCTTTTCTTTTTTTTGTCTGTAGTAATGCATCAGAAGAACTGGGGTTAAATGCTGGCTGTACTATTTATTAACCAAAAGGCTTTTGGTAAATTATCGTAACATCGCACATGTCAAGCCATGTAGTCTCTATTGCTACATAAGAAATGACCCCCAAACTTAGCAACTTAAAATAACAAAGATCTACTACCTCACAGTTTCTATGGATCAGAAATCTGAGTGCAGCTTTAACAGGTACTTCTGGCTCAAGGTCTTACATGAGGTGGCGTTCAAGCTGTCTGCTGTGACTATGGTTGCATCTGAAGACTCAATGGGGAGGAATCCAATTCCAAGTTCACTCATGTGATTGTTGGAAGACTGAATTTTCTTATCGGATATTGGAGTAAGGGCCTCAGTTCTCTGCAGGCTGTTGGCTGGAGACCTCCCTGAGTTCCTTGCCCAGTGGATCTCTTCCTAAGCACAACCCCCAACATGGCAGCTGGCTTCCCACAGAGCAGGTTAATGCAAGAGTGAGAGAAAACAACCAAATGGAAGCCACAGTCTTTTTATAACCTAATATTGAAAGTTATATCCTAATACTTTGTCATATTCTATCATTACCAGCCAGTCACTAGACCCAGCCTGCATTCAAGGGAAGGGATTTTTGCATGAATGTGTAACAGGAGGCAAGAGTCACTGGGGCTATTACAGAGGCTGCCAACCATAAACTCCAGTGTCACTCCACAATGAGTGAAAGCCCCCAAAATAATGTAAATGAAAGGGGATTTACAGACATTACAGCAATATATATGTATAGGAGTATAATAATTTATTTCAAGGAGTCCAGTGAAAACTCTCCAGCTAATTTTACTCAGCTTTGCCAAGTATTCTGAGCCTCTCAGTTAATGAAGGTTCTTTAATTCTTGCAAGGCTCTAAACTACCCTCTCTACAGTCTTCCAAAGATTTTCCCACCATCTGATACTTCAAGAGAAATAAATGGTTTAATTTTCCTTACAACATGAATTGCCACTGACAACAATCTTTAATCATTAAAGAGTTAACAGTGCACTTTGAATTGCTTTACCCAGATAAAAAATTCATTCCCTAA